TCTAATTAAGGCATTAAGATCAATATCCAAAAGATGATTTTTTTATTCCTCTTTTTAGGCAACTTTAGCATGGGGGCAAACACTTATTCACACCACTGTATTAGCGCTGGAGAGCGAGACAGAAACACTGGGGAAGAGCATGATTGTGTTGGAATGAGAGTCTGGAATATTATTCGCTTTTTTGGTCTCACTGACATATAAAGTGTTATTTTAAGCCCCATTTCTGGGCCGTTTATCCGGAGTCAATCGCTGCGATAATCGAGCGGGTTATTTACTGCGAGTGTGAGAGTCTTTACGGGCTGGGGCAGACGGAGAAATGGGATTGTTTATGTTACGATGCTTAATCTGTCCTGAAGAAGTGATGAAGATCCTGCGACTCGATCAACATCATCATCATCACACACACACACACTCTCTCTCTGACACACACACACACAAACACACACACACACACACACACACACACACACTCTCTCTCTTTCACACACACTCAGCAGGTTCAGTGGCATCAGTGTGTGACTCATGATTGTTATTATCTGAACAGGAGCAGTTCAGTGTGTAGATTCAGCGACCCGAACATCACAAACTCACACACACACACACACACTCATGTATCCTTTTGCCTCTTAAGTAGATATAACTTGTTTAAGGATGTTTACACTGTTTTGGGAAAAACAGAGTAAGAACGTGATTGTTTGCAGTGTGTTGCTCACATTTATTAGCGGGAACATCCGCGCCGGAAGCTCTGCGGGTTCATGTGGTCGGTGCGCGGGTTATTGGCTTTAGCGTGTTATTACGTTTAGCGTGTTATCTTTAGCATGTTCTCTCGACTGCTGGAAACATGCCGTCTCTCAGCACTAATTCACCGACGCTCAATCTCCGGCGCTGGCGGGAATAATGGCTGATAATGATTCGCTTAAAACGCCTTCCTCCGTTTCAGCCTCTGTGTGACGCTCATCAACTCATCGAATTGGGTGTGTGTGTGTGTGTGTTTGAGTCTATGTGAGTGTATGTGTGTGAGTCTGTGTGTTAGCCTATGTTTGTGTGTGTGTGTGTGTGTGTGAGTCTATGTGAGTGTATGTCTGTGAGTGTGTGTGCGAGTCTATGTGAGTTTATGTGTGTGAGTCTATGTGTCTGCAAGTCTATGTGTGTGTGTGTGTGCGTAACATCGACAGTCCAATTAGTGGTTATATGAGGATATATGTTTTACTTTGTGATGAAGCGTAAGAGTTTTCATCAGAGCGCTGCACTAATGTGTGTGTGGGTGTGTGTGACTCACTTCACCTGAACACGACAGAAAACACTTGTAAACAAACACTCAGTGTGTGTGTGTGTGTGTGTGTGTGTGGGTTGTATGCATTTATTTTAGTGCCATTTGAGCGGCGCTGACGTCCGGTTCCATTAGACACAATACACACTTTATAAATCTGTGAAACACGTGCGACGCTCTATAAATACCCAGCATGCCCCTGCGTCTGGACACAACACTGCCCGAGAACCGGTTTAATGAAACAAATGTACTATATTTTAGTTTGATAATGTTTTTTATTTAATATTGAGTTTTTTTGGGGTATTTTATGGCACTAAATTAAATTATATGTACACTGTATTTATAATCCATTTATTCACATTTTGAGCATTACGACTGAAACTGGTGAAAATTGAACGCTTTAGAGGACAGACTGAAGATCTCAACTCAAACACTCGCAGATTATTATAACACACACTCTCACATACACACACTCACCCCCTACACACACACACAACTCAAACTCTCACATATACACACACAACTTACACATACACACTCACCCCCCCCTGAATGGAACACACATGATCTCGAGGTGTGTGTGTGTGTGCGCTCTGACGTCTGTGAGCCGTGTGTTTTACACTATAGCGTGTGAAACCGAAGTGCCCTAGTTAGGGCCCATTCTTCTGCTATTGTTCAGGAGTCTGTAGAGAGATGGACGAGCGTTTCCCCCGAGCGACTGGATCTCCTTCACACACACACACTCGCCAACAGTTTAGCGTCACACACACGCTTCACTGTCTTCAAGACGAGATCGGGCCGTCACACACACACACGTGTGCCGTGTCATAAACACTGCTCGTGTTTCAGATATGATTTCCGTCTCGTCTCAGTTACTGGAGAACGACTGAAGATGTTCTTTTCTGAACAATTAACGAGTTTAAGAACTGCCATTAAAGTTTCCCTTCCCATGTGTGTGTGTGTGTGTGTGTGTGTTTCATCACTAATTGAACTGTCGAACCTTAAACGTGCAACAAATAATCAAATACCATCATGACTCTTAAACACTCATATATAACATGTACAGTGTGTGTTAGTGTATTTATATATGTGTGTGTTTATTGGTCATTAATTTATTGCATTAATTATTTAATAAATCTAAAATAAGTGATTTTTCAGTGCAATGACTTTCCGTTTCCATTAAGTCAGTGTTTGCAGTGCTGAGATACGGGCCGTTGCGTGATCAGGAGTGTGTGTGACTGCTGTGACTCGTGTTTAGGCGAGTGTGTGTGAGGAGTTTTGGGCAAACGAAGGCAATCTTCTCCTCAGAGTGTCTGAATATTGCGGATTATGAAATGGCAGCTGCTAAATAAACACATCTAATAAAGGCCGATGTGATGTGTGTGTGTGTGTGTGTGTGGACGTGCGCGCGAGAGCGTCTGAAGCTGGAAGGGCTCCTGGGAACGTTGACCTTCAGCGAGAGCGACTCGGGAAATCTGTGTACGCATGGAGACGTGGCCGTTAATATCATGACTGAGCCTCACTGACTCCAGGACAGACGCTCTCTGATTTGTGTCTTTCATTGAGGCTCACACACACACATCCGCCTGATCGAGCTCTTCATGCTGGGATTGATCAGTGTTTTGGACGGTGGTTGTGTTCGGTGTGTATGAGGGGCTGTGTTCTGGCCGCTCGTTTACACGGCGTTTTCTTTTTAAACAACAAAATCGTGAATCTCTGAAGACGATGATGTCATGCACATGCGTGTGGCGTGTTCAGTCTTCTAATAAATGAAACAAATGGACAAACCCAAACGTTGGGTTAAAAATGTATTTTAGTCATTTAACCCAATGGCTGGGTTTGTCCATATTAATTTGACCCAAAATTGGATTAATACAACCTAGCATATTTTTTTTGAGTAAATATGTAAACAAATATAGACTACAACAAATAAGTTTAACGGACTAAAACAGAGTATACGCTTAAAACGGAGAAGTTTTTCCTTTGAGCTTTCCGCGTACAGACGACACCATCGTCAAAGCGATCCCTGTTCACACGGATCCGGGAAAACGACTGAAACACGGTGTTCTGATGGCTGGCCAGTAGAGGGCGATGAAACACCACACAATGAACACGTAACACATGTGTGCATGATGTCAGCGTCTTCAGAGAGTCACGTTTTTGTCGTTTACACCGAGACTGTTTTCAAAAGTTTGCGTTTCAGGCGCCAAAAACACCGTTGTCGTGTAAACCAACGGCCAAAACGCATAAAAAGATCAACGTTTTTAGTTGAAAACAGTGTCGTGTGTTTACACAAAACCTGCAGAATAAAGGGGCGGGGCCTGGCTGAGTTAGTCAGTAGTGTGTTAAACCAATCACAACACACTGCTCCAGCCGACCAATCAGAGCACAGTGTGCTTTCAGGAGGAGGGGCTTCATAGAGACAAGAGCATTACTGACAGACTGGGAAGAGAGGAGCCGCAACAATGGAGAATATGAGGAGAATAATCAACATTCAAGCAGGAAAACCTGTTCTAGTAGAGAAACGACATCATCAACGATGCGTCTCAGGTCGTTACCCGTTGTGCCGGACAGGTAGTTGATGGACTGGGATAATAAACAGGACAATCAGAGCGAAGCGACACACACACAATCAGAGACGAACACCCGCTGAATCCTATGCGACACACTAATACAGAAACTACAGCAACACACTGTTATGAGATTCCCAAAACTGCAGATTAATGGAAGGAACACACACACCTCTGGTGATCACACACACACACACACACAGGTGAGGGATTGCTTAGATTGTGTGTCTCTGAATGCATGACGTACGGATGTCACTCGCTCTGTGAAGCTGATATCTGATGAGCGAGAGAACTCACGTCTATTTCTGCTCCGTGTTCAAGCGTCAGCGAGAGGACCTGAAGGAGGACACCCGCTCCCACACACTCATTATATTAGACAGCACACACACACACACACACACTCTGCATTCACTCCACATCTGCGTCACGATGTTGATGTTCCTCCTCCTTGCAGAACAGCCTCTCTCACTCAGTCTTTCTGTCGGGTTACAGTCCAAATGTAGAAGCGTTTACTAGATGAGGAATATGACATAAGACATTCTTGTTTCTACAAAAAAAAAACAATCAAAATGAAGTGAGTTTGAGCCTAAAACAAGCAGAATGATCTGCCGATGGGGTCAGATTATCTTGAATTAAGTTTATTTTTCGGACCCCATCGGCAGATCATTTTGATTGTTTTTTTTTTTTTTTGTAGAAACAAGATAGAATTTCTTATGTCATATTCCTCATCTAGTAAACGCTTCTACATTTGGACTGTAACCCGAATGAAAGGCATGTTCTGCAGTGCAGAGTTTCCGTCTCGTTTGACACATTCTTACATCGAGACACAGTTCCTGGAGGAGAACATTGACTGAAGATATTAAGACTTGTTTTTATAGAAGTCTTTTATCTTTCCTAGAATTTGTGACTGGAAAGTGGAAAATATGTATTTAAAGTAAAAGCACACAGAAGTTTCCCACGAGATTCAGATTCACAAGAAAACTGGAAATGTTCTGATAACGTTCTCTGCACGTTATGATCAAACGTTCTCCTGGAACATTAATATAACGTGTGTTCAGAGTCCTCCGCTCTTTAATAATGTTCTGAGAACATTAGAACACAAACATCGCTCATGGAAAGTTTCAGTTGGTGTGTGTCTTAAATGTAACGGTTTTTAAATGTATCAGATTCAAAAGTATCGTTCCAGAATGTGTGAAGAACGATACAGTGTCACTGTTCCCGTAACGTTCACAGAACCGAGAAAAAACACTTTTTCATAAACTTTTTCATAACTTAATGGGAACGTTTGAGAAACGCTCTTAGAATTTAATTTAATAATTTTGATATAATGTAAATAAACAACTTATTCCTCTTGAATTCACTCTGTATGAGGATTAAATGTGCAGAATTATCTAGTAGTAAATCTAATAATTCTAATTCTATATCTGTGAATATTGTGTGTATTGTGTGATGTTTTGGGTCTTACTCTGATGTGTGTGTGCTCAGCTCTGGTGGTTCGGTTCCTGACCAAGAGGTTCATCTGGGAGTACGACCCGACACTCGGTGAGAAACACACACCAGAACACTTTCTCCTCTGTAGTGTCGAATATCCGAACAAGAGCAAAAGTGGGCGGGGCTTGATTGTGTCTGTGTGGAATTGATTGGATGGTTGTGCTTTGCTATTGGCTGATATCATGTGAGTGACAGGTTATAGCCCCGCCCTCATCATCAGCAAACTCAGGACAGACTTTAGGAGACACAATAAGCATACACAGGCGGAGACGGTCATGTGAACGAATATAGAATATAAACGGATGAAAATGTCTGTTTTATAAACACACTCTCCATTCATCAGAGCGTTCTGCACATTCCTACCCATCAAACGTAATTGAGTTGAGCGCCAGAGACGCCTGATTCATTTACTGTCCTCAGACCAAACCTGTCCAGACGCAGAGCGGAGAGTTAAGTGGAAATCAAGCGCTTTTCAGGGATAAAAGATTCTGATTGGCTGAGCAGCATCTCTTAGCTCCGCCCTCAAACACTGTAGTGTATCTGAGACTGAGAAGACGCTGTTCTCTGAGATCGATACGGTGAAACCCACGCCATCGGTACTGTTCGTATCAATGTGATCAAGAGCTGAGAGTCAGATATGATAATGAGCGTTTCTGACCAATCACAGCAGAGCGGCTCTCAGAGAGGCGGAGCTTAGAGAGACTGAATCTCCCAAAGAAGCGTTTCAGACACTGAGAGGAAAAAAGGGTGATATTATTAGAAAATTAACGTGATTTTGATCTTGGATGAATGTGAACATGACGTATGAGACGCCAAAACAACATTAGAGTGTTTAAACAGTAGAATAGAGCACTTTAAACGTCGGAGCGCCGAGTTCTGTGTGTTCACATGATGAGAGCCAAGTGACATTCAGGCATTCGTGAGTGAATTAAACCCTGACTGAGAGCCAGCAGACGCTTGGACCGACCACTGGGAAACATTCAGAAACACTTCCATTCAGTCCTGAGGCTCTGTCCAGGATGTCAATCCACACACACACACACACACACACTGCCCACATTCTCAGACAAGAGAATTTATTCTGATTCAAGATTATTAACACAATAATGATAAATCATTTAGTATAAACAGTAACTGTTAGACGAACTCTGAGCTTTAGAAGGAGTAAATCTGCTGTGATCTCTCATGTTTTAAATAGTTCTGTCCACTAACGCAGTGTGTGTGTGTGTGTGTGGCAGAGTCCACCTATCGCCACCAGGCCGTTATTGACGACGAGACGGTCAGCATGGAGATTCTGGACACAGCCGGACAGGTGCACTTTCACCTTTCATTTCACCATGATGACTTAGAATCTCAGAATTCACCACAAAATGATTTAGTTCATGTGTACATGTGTGTGAACGTGCAACAACAACAAAAAGATATGTGATAAAGTGCGGGTGAAGGCTGAAGACATGTTGACGTGTGTGTATGTGTGTGTGTCAGGAGGACGTCCTGCAGAAGGAGGCTCACATGCGCTGGGGCGACGGCTTCATCCTCGTCTATGACATCACGGACCGCGGGAGCTTCGAGGACGTGGCTCCTCTTAAAGGTGACGCACGACGCCCTTTCTCCTCCACACTTTCAGTTCCCAGAACAGCGCTATATAAATGTAACAGATTATTATTATTATTAATATGTGATATAAACCTCTGGCGTCGACAAAATGTGTGTGTGAAATCTCAGCTGAAAATACCTCTGGTCTGTGTGACTCCGCCCACTGCCAGTTCAGCCAATAGTATTCCGACACCCGGGTTGCCAGTTGATGTATCGTAGCCATGGAAACAAGCAAACAAACCGAGTCAGAGATCGCAGATTCCACTCGACCTAAAGAGCCTCGATATCTAAAAATCTCTAACTAACAAGTGTTTAACCCTCGTACATCAATTAAAAAAACTTACACATAGGTAAATGGTGTCAAAAAATGTCATAAAAATGTGATGCTTCGGAGCACAGACTTAAGTTTGGTATCATTTTAACGAAGACCCTTTGCAGATTACTGCTGAAGTAAAAACATAATAATAAGTAAATCCCCCCAAAAAAATGATATAGGTATAAGTTTATGAAAATTATTTATAAAAATAATTTATTTAAAATATATATTTTATAAATCAGGTTGAACTCAAAACTGTAATACAATCAAAGCCATGAATCTAAATAGGTTGTGTTCCAAATTTGAGGATGATATCTCAAAAAATGAGCTTTGGGTAACAGTTTGTTTGGGTGTAGTAACATATTTTCCCCATTGGGTGGCAGCAAAACCCCACTGGAGCTCACAGTGATTGGATTTGAATTTGCAGTTTTTCCTCTCTCGGTATTACAATACAAACACACACATGCGCACACACACTATTTTTTTTATAACACACATACTAACCACACTCTGACATCCATACCAACACACCCACACAAATATTGTTGCATAATTTATCCAGTTGACTCTATAGTATGCCGAACCAGAAAACAGGAATAAAGCGATATTTGTTTTATAGGCCAAACTTAAAAAAAATGACACCATCTGATGATAAAAAACAGTAAAAAAATTCAATTTTGAAGCCTTGCCAACAGAATGAAAGCCTCTTAACAAAGATTGCATAATTTTATAGTTAACTGAACCGGGGATTAAAAATGGCAGTTTTAATGGGGACATTTTTGTCCAAAAGGTGCTGAGAGGGAGTATTTATTGTACCTACTACCTAATGCAAAAAATATTTTTTTAAGAAAATGACGGTGAAATACTAAAGTTCCAATAAAAACACACACCTGTGCCAAATTTTTTGCAGTTAGCTTTAACACAGGTAAAGTGATCAAAAAAACAAAACTGAAAAGGACAAAAATGTCCATAAGGATGCTTAAGTCATAAATATCATAAACATAACTGTGTGTTCAGTGGCGTATGAAGAGCTTAATGTGTTTATTAGCTTATAATGAGGCGTTTTTTCTCTACACACACACACCGCGGGTCCGCTTACAGCGACATGTTTCTACGGTTTCTTTGGTCACTGTGTTGTTCATGATCAGAAGCTGCTAACGTCAGCGAGTAAAACACTGACACGATGATGAACAAGTCACAATAATATTCGCCGATCTTACTGAATAATAAAGTAAACATAACTTATTAATTTATCTTTGTAATGAAACCTCATTGTTTCTCTCGACATCACTTCCTGTCGGCCACCGTAACTTCTGTTGGGTGCAGTTCACAAACTCACCACTAGATGCGCTACACACCACACACTGCGCGTTTAACGCGTGTCGTCCGCAGGGCTCCTGGACGAGGTGAAGCGGCCCAAACACGTGCCTCTGGTGCTGCTGGGGAACAAGGCGGACCTGGACCTGGGGCGGCAGGTGGCCACGGAGGAGGGCGAGCGGCTGGCGGCCGACATGGCGTGTGCGTTCTACGAGTGTTCTGCGTGTGCGGACCGGGTCGGGTCGGGCGGAGGCGTGGCTGAGGCGTTTCACGAGCTCCTGCGAGAGATCCGGCGCCGGCGGGCCGTCCAGGGCAAGACCCGCAGACGCAGCTCAACCACACACGTCAAACAGGCCATCAACAAGATGCTCACCAAGATCAGCAGCTGAACACACACACACACACACACAAATGGTCAAATGATGACAGTAGATCTGAAGTATGAGATCAAAAAGTCAAAATTGAGATCAAAAGTCAGAACTGATTCTGATTTCCTGAAGTGCACTGTGGGTAATGCTGCTCTCACTCATCTGGAGGAACATCTACACACTCTTACATTAAGAAGCATTCACTAGAGGAGGAATATGATGGAAGAAATTATAACAAAACTAAAGTAAACAAGTTACAGTGACTCTCACCTCAGCTCAGAACTAGATCAAAATAAAGTATGAGATCATAAAGACATAATTCAGATTAAAAATCATAATGTGTCTGGATTTTGTCCTCATAAAAAAAGTAAATTGAGTTTTTTAATTCACGTTTTACAGAGGAGAATGTGTCCGAACACTAATCTTAATCCAACGAGAAAAATGATATTTATTCGAATACAAAACCATTATTAAGATATCATGTGTTGTATAATTCTGCTCATCTTCCAGTAAATGCTTCTTGATGTAGAGTTTTAGATATTTGGACTGAAAAGTGAGAGTGAGAAAAGCATTTTCCCAGTGTGATTGTTTTATATATGTGTTAATAAATAAATAAATATATATAGATATATAATGAATGCCGATACAGATGTGTCGCTCGTATCAGTTAATGCATTAATAATGTTCATTAATGTGACCGTACGGTAAAGTGTTTCAGATGATATTGAGTTTTTCTTTTCAATTAAGATTATTTCTTGGACTCCGTTGTTGTGTTTTAATCTCAAACTCACTTCGTCTGATGCAGTGTGTGTGTGTGTGTGTGTGTGTGTGAGCGAGTGAGTGTCAGTGCTGGAACACGAGGCAGAAGTTCTGAAGAAGATGCTTGTGTTTGTGTGTGTGTGTGTGTGTGTGTGAGTGTGTGTGTGAGAGAGTATGTGTTCCCAGTTCTCCGTGTGTTTTCTCGGGATGCTCTTACGGCTGCACTGAAGGATTGTGGGAAACAGTCAGATAAAGCAGTATCAGCACTCGTGATCATCAAACGCTGGCGGAGGAATGTGTGTGTGTGTGTGTACCCGACAACACACACACACACACACACACCTGATCATGAAACTGTTTTCTTATTTACTGTAGATATTCAACAGTGCTGAGATTCTTTCCGACAGTCAATGTGTGTAAATGTCATGCAATAAAAGGCTTGTGTGTGTGTGTGTGTGTGTGTTGTCGGGTGTGTTCATATGGAGGATAATTACACAATCGTCTGTCTGAGAATAGAAAGACCACAAACTCGACGTCATCGTCTGAAAGCGGCCACTCTCAGCTGACGCCCAGAACACACACACACACACACACACACACACATTCTCACACAAACTCTCACTAATACACACAAAAACTCACACACTCACACTCAAACTCATTCTCACACACACAAACTCTCATTCTCACACAGACACACACTCAAACTCATTCTCACTTACTCACACACACACTCACTCTTCATCTCTAGTGTTGCCGCTGACCGACACACAGCAGTTCATGAATGAATGATTCATCACATGCATTTAGCAGATGCTTTTACAGACTCGCAGATAGGAACAGACCGTGTGTGTGTGTGAGAGAGAGAGTTTGAGTGAGAGAGAGTGTTGTGTGTGTGTTGTGTTGAGAGTGCTGTGTGTGTTGAGACTGTTGAGTGTGTTTGGTGTGTTGAGAGTTCTGAGTGTGTTGTGTGTGTTGAGAGTATCGAGTGTGTGTGTTTAGATGTGTTCAGCGCTGGAACACGAGATGGAAGCTCTGAGGATTATTGCGTCTGGATCAGTGTCTCGTCTCAGAACCCCGAGCGAAATCCTCATGAAGCTTCACACACACACACACACACACACACACACACTATCTGTAATCGGTGTGTAATACAGTAATGATGATCTTGGGAATGTTGGGATATTAGAGGTGGACGAGACAGAAGCTCTGAGGAAGAGCCTGACCATCACACTCCTCGTGTCCTGGTGGAGGAACACACTCTTCATTACGAGAGACTCAAGCGGATCAAATCCAGCAGGACTGCAGCTCGCGGACAGGAAGTGGAGGCTCAGGAACAGGAAGTTGCAGGAATACCTGTGATGTACGAGTGGAAGTGTGTCGCTATCAGTCCAGCCCTAACTAACAACAAACACTACAAGTGTGTCCTTGTATGTTGTCACTCACAAACACACACATATACTCTAACACACACACACACACACACACTAAAACACTCTCACACACATATACTCTTAACACATGCACACTAAAACACTCTCACACACACTAAAACACTCACACACTTAAAATACTCTCACACATTCATTCACATAAACTCTAACACACACACCCACACTCTTAAACATGTAGCAGCTACTTATACACTGTCACACACATTCACTTGCATATACTTTAACACACTCACACACACTTAAACATTCTCACACACATATATACTCTAACACTCTCTCACACACACACACACACACACTGTCCGTTTCTGCGTCTCATCATTCTCTTTGTGTGTATTAAGACATTGCAGTTGCCATGGAGACCAAGGCCTTTCCTTGTTGTCAACTCCAACTTTGCAATTCTCTATGGTGACTGAGAAAACACACACACACACACACTAGGACCTTGAGAAGAAACTGAACCGGAAGCTCCAGCGAGACTAAATCATCCGTCAATCAAACAAGTGTGTGTGCAGTGATGTTTCCACACCTGAGAGAAACTCCCGAGGCCTCAGACGAGCGTGTGTTCTGGTGACGGAGGAATCACTCGATGAACTTCACGTCTGTCATCAAAAACTAACTTACATTATATATTATATATTTAAAAACCGGCTGTTATTATTCTGCGTTTTCTTCAGGGTGACGCTGTGTGACGTCAGCGAGTCACGTGACTATCTTCACCTGCGCGCTGCTGCCCTCCAGCGGCTGAGAGCAGAACAACATCTTCATCATCCCCTTCATCACTACGATCATTATTTTCATCATCATCATCATGAAAATAAACAGAATATTAAATCCTGAAAGCACAACGCTGAATGAGTGTTGAATATAAAAGGTGATTTCCCTGAGGGCAATTAAACCACAAATACACCCGTTCATATTAAACACGACTGGTTTTATTAGCATTTCCATTCATCAGAGACATTATAAAAAATAAAAGTAAACACAGAATGCAGAGAGTTTGTAGCACATTAGACACACACGTGAAGCAGAGATACACAAACACTGCACACGTCATGCCACATTTCCCGCGCTAAATCACCTCAGAGCAATATTACAGTGTTTTGGGGAAGCACATTTCTGACACACGAGAACAAAAACATGCTTTGCTCGATCATAATTACGACTTATGACATCGTACTAATAATGACACTAAGTTATAACTATGAGATACACAGAAAGTGTTTTTTTTCCCTCACAAAGTGTCTCATAACCATGATTTAGTGTAGGTTAATGTCGACTTTGTCTCACAATTTATCTCACAAATATGACTTGAGTTTTGACTTAGTATGACTTTACCTCATAATTATTACTTAGTAT